ACTTACAATCGAAACAAAACATTGTGCTTTTGTAAAATAAAGAAAATAAACAGGGTGTGCTTTCTGCCTCTCCGTCTCCGTGAACTTTTTTTTTGGAGCACGTCTCTAAACTTAAACAGAACTCAGCGAATACTATTCACCCAGGCAGGGCCGTGCACAGACCTTTTGAGGGGCATGTGCTGAAACTGAAAAAGGGCACCCCCCTCCCTTTTTTTATATCAAGATTATTTAGTAAGCCTAAATAAAGAGGAAATGGTCACATCTTCATGACAAAAAAAAAAAAGAATAGTCTCAAAAGCTTTAAATTTATTCACTATTAATAACAACCATAATAATAATATTATAGATATACAAAGTTTTAGGGCTTCTTTAAACCTAATTACAACAGCAACCTTCTGTGAGCCATGCTTGAAGATGTTTATGACTTCACTGCGGCCATGAAGGTCTGAAAGTCTCTCCTCTGAGCAAAGGCTTTGGAGTTGGTTCTTATCCGGCTCAGGAACAGACGTGGCGTGAACAGTCTCTTTAATTAACCTAATTTTTTAAAAGAATCTGATTGCAAAGAAGAATTTGATGGCAAAAACTTGATACTGTGGAGGACCAATGTTGGTCTCTTGAAGGTCTCTTATTAATAAAATAAGCCAGCAATGAAAAAAATTATAAAATAGTTTGAAAAGTACAGTTGCAGTGAAAAGCATTTCTGAAGGATCACATGACACTGAAGAGTACTGACCTGGAGTAAAGATGCTGAAAATTCAGCTTTGACCACAGAAATAAATTAGGCTATATTTTAAAATATATTCAAATAGAAAACAGTTATTTTAAATTGTTTTTGCTTATTTTGGATCAAATAAATTAAGCCTTGGAGTGAATTAAATCATGAATTACATTCTGCATGATAAAATATAAAGATTTAACAGTGATCTTCTGTATTTTTTTTTTTTTTTTTAAGTTACTACTACAATATTACTGTAGTAAAACCATGTTTTACTACATTTATACATGTGATGATGACCGGAGAGTATAGAATAGCCTACTATATAGATTAAAAATTACATTGCGAATACGTGCATATTAACAGCCTTGAATTAACCTTAATTTAATATTATTACCATAACATGATTAAATGTTAATAGAACACATTTCTTAGAAATATATGTTACCTAGGCGACGAGGATCACTTTGTAGTTCCAGTACGAACAGCGCGGGGGCGCACCTTTGCTTATGATTTTCCTATGGAAACGGCTCCGGCGGCATCATTACATTTTCATCAACAGCTTACCAACTAGATTGTTATAGCTATATATAGGCGCACAGTTTTTCCTGTTGTAAAATACATTTGGTCAAAATCGCATTTTATAAAAAATGAAATGCTACTGTATGCACAGGCTGTTTAAGTGTAGGCTATGTATTGGCAATGACTATGGCAAATGCTAGCATAGCCCTCTCTCTCAGGTCCCACATATCTTAGTCAGACATCAAATAAATAAAATATGAGCTTTTATAGACAACGTGTTTAGTACTTATTCAAACAACAAGATCTTTGTTTACCCTTGCAAAACTTCGTTCAGCTGCTGTCTGCTGTGCGGCCGCTGCGGAGCTTCAGTTCATTCAGTCACGATAGAGTGGGCGGAGTTATCAGCTTTACTAACCGTTTGAGGATCGAACAAGATTTACACAAGCGCTTTTTAAGATCTTTCATTGGTTAAATATTTTTAAGACAGACAGATAGACTTAAAGGGTGACCAATAGCATTGATTTATTATAAAAAAATAAAATTAAAGTAAAAACACCACCACCAAAAAAAGGGCACTTCGGCAAAAGGGCATGTGCTCTGCACAGGTTGAGCCCTACCTGTGCACGTGCCTGCACCCAGGCATGAGCTATATATCTTTATAATCATTTAAGTGTGTACTTTTAAATGGTTTATTACATTTACATTTAAAGGTGAACTAAGTAACTTTTTTACCTTAACCGAACAGCTTTGGAGTCATTGTAATGTTTATATTACTGATTTCGTGTTGAATGGTGGTCGTCTCGCACCCCCCTGGTGCATGTAAGCCGCAAAACCACCCTTGCAACTTTGGGCCGGCGAGCTGCCGGCCTCAGTGTTAGGAAGTATCGTGTGATATCAGGTCTCGCGAGGTAACAAATTGCTTTACGGCAAAAAAACAGATCTGATAAAATTCTGATAAAATGAGCATCAAACAGAAATAACTTGGCGCCGTATACATGTGGTGTTGGGCGCGCGCAGCTCTTAAAGGGGCCATACCTTATTTCCACTCGTTACAGCGTCCATCCTACTGAACAGGTACCGGTGTACAGGGGAGGGGATCCGGCCGTGAGTGCGAGCCATCTCTGCGTGAGTGCTATTCACGACAGTACAAGTACTCCACAGCGACTCTAGGGGTCACTGTTTGACAAAAACGGAATTCCTACTTAGTGCTGCTTTAAGTGTTATACTTTTAAGTGTGTACTTTTAATTCATAACAAAAACAAATATTCTCTGTTTATGTAATCTATATGAAAAGAGAGAGATGTCAGTCGTTCTCATATCAGCTCATTATCTTTTAATTTGATCACGTCCACGGAGAACGCGCGCTATTCAAATGCAAATGATCTGAGGCGATCCATGCAAACGTGTCAACGCCCACATCAACTCGAGAAAACACAGCAAGTTTAATCAGATTACTGTACTTTACGTCGTCTTGCGAGGCTGTAAGGAATAATCAACGCATTCTCATCCCAAAGCGTAATATTTTGACTCTTTTGCCAAAGCGTCTATATCCAACGCATATGGCACCCTTTAGCGTCAATATAACACGCTTCGGTTTTGGGTAGGTTTAGGTCTGGGGTAGTGTTAGGGTTAGACCACTAGGAGGCGCCATATATCTGCGTCTCATATGACGCTAAAGGGTGCCATGTGCGTTGGATATAGACGCTTTGGCAAAAGAGTCAGTATATTACGCCTTGGGATGAGAACGGGCTCGAATAATCCTGGGATACATCAGAAGTGCTGGTTTAAATTCATTTCGAGGAGCGACGGATCAAGCTGATGTCGTAAGTTTTTTATTATTAAGTGCTTTGTTGTAATCGCGATATGGAATAGCCTATGTAAACCGCAAAAAGACCGTTTAAATATGAATCGCTTTCCGTGTGTGAATGAATGAACAGCTTTTACCAAACTATATTGCTATACTGAGATGAGTAAAAATTGACTGAAATATGTTGAAATAAAATGTCTTTGTTTAAGCAACTTAAACTGCAAATTAACATTTATATGCCCTAATTATATCATAAAAACAACACAATCTCATGAAAGTGCGTATCTAAAGCACGAATTTAATTTCTCGTACCATCTTACGCCAAAAATATTTTTTGCGTGCAAATGATACGCACTGTAAACCCCTTGGGTATGATTAGGTGTGTGGAATGCGTGTGTATTACACGCCATAAAGTGCGTATCATATGCACGCGTAAACTGCATATGCACGCAAAAACTACTTTTGGTACGAGAAATTAAATTTGTGTTATAGATACACACTTTCATGAGATCGCAACGATATGCCTATGTTACAGACGAAATATGAAAGACAACATTTCGTTGACTAGTTTTTGTTATAAACTTTTTACTGTAAAATAGACTACTGCCACATCAAATAAGCTTTTGTTTTTATAGTTATTATAGTGTTTGTTCCAATGTAGGCTTTATTCAAATTAATGAATCCTTGAAATACTAAGGTGTTTTTGGGGTCCTTGAGATGTTTTGACATGCACTGACATTTGTGCTTTTTTCAGTTGCTTATAAACATATTAATGGCAAAGGTGTAATTACACTCTATTTAGCACAAACAGGGCTACCATAATATATGAGCAACATGTATGTACAAGTTTGTATTTTTGAGAGAATAATGTTTATGCATGGTTATTGAAAAAACTAAAACTTAAAGTTTCTGAAATAAGGCCACAAAACACATACTAAATATGTGTCCACAAGACTTTTGACTAATGGATGTTGTCGCCTACAGTGTTTGGAATAACGCCATTTAAAAGAACGGCGTTAGGTAACGACGTTATTTTTTCAGTAACGGGTAATCTAACTAATTACTTTTCCCGTCGTTACAACGCCGTTAACGTTACTGGACGTTAAATGTGGTGCGTTACCATGGGCATCAGTTTGGTTTGAAATGTGCTGGGGACAGAGATTCGGAAGTGCATTTTCAGAAGTGCTGGGTATGAACTTGTCAAACTGTGCAGCCTCTCTGCTCAACCCGTAGATCTGGTGGTAGATCTTTTGCCAAGCGTGTCAGAGGTTACGGTTTCTAATCCGCACTTGTATATTTTTTTTTCTCTCATCAAAACTGAATATGTTCATCAGTGGTTACAGTCTATATCTATTACTTCGTTTAAAAGACGAGAATTCAAGCTTCATGCCTGTGTCCCTGTATTCCTGCTTGACTGAGTATTCGCTGAGTTACAGTTCATTTTCGGATGCGTTTCAGAATGGACTTCACTGACAGAGAGAACGCAGAACTCGCATCATGTTTTTTTTTCTTTATTTGGCGAAAAGCACAACACTTTGTTTTTATTGTGAGTATCCACAAAAAATATATAGACACTTAACAGGATCTAATGATGTACAACCCTTATATGTAAGATCAAAATCAACAGAGTATTTTGAGTCTCTTTTGCACTGATAATAAAAAAAGTGAGCTGGTATCGCCGGCGCAACCGCCGACCCCAGGGGGTTAAGTCTTCTAAAATAAAAAATAAGACTATTTTCCTTCCATCCTAGCTCTATGACACACGTGTGAAAACTTTTGTGTATACAGAGGGAAAGCAAATCTACAGTACAGGAGAAGACAACAGAGCTGAGAGTAACAGCACACACACGACACTAGATGAAGTGTGAGCAATCTTTTTCTAACAGCATGAGGGTAAAAAGATGTATAATAATTTTGGAGATCAGTTTCTACACTGTTGTGCTCTGGCAGTCTTACCCAGCAGTGTGATGATGCAGGCCAGTACAGCGAGCAGAGCTCCAGTGCTCAGACCCGCTGGGAGAGAGAAGGCCATGGATCCACACGCCTCAGGAACCCCGTCCACATCACACTGACACACGCGTACTGAGAGTGTATTGGTGCTGCTCAAGGCAGGGCTACCACTGTCCACGATCAGCACTGGTAACCAGTACAGAGACTGCTCTTGCCTCCGGAAACCAGCTCGCTTGGTCAGCACTGATGCGGTGTTATCTGAGAGGGACGGAAAAAGGTCAAGGGTAAGAATGTGAAATTAACTGTTAGACTCGTTAACATCTCAGAAGTGTTAGACTGGATCAAGACTGGTCACCTGACACCAAACCGAGGATTGAGAGATGAATGAATCTCTGAATGAAGGGATGGATGGATGAAGAGTTGGAAGATGGGAAAACACGATCACTTCATGAAAACTGTCTTTGCTTCATGAAAAAGAGAGGAAAATATGTATATAGAAAATATAAGCAAACATAAGACTCCACTCCACCTGCTTACGTTCAGCTTTGTGGACTCTTATTTTGATATTCTGTTCAGTTTCCTTTGGTTCCTGTTTCCCTGATCTGTTTAGTTTCCATGGTTTATGATTAGTTCCTCGTTTGTTCCTATGTTCTCCTGCACTGCTCATTATCCCCTGTGTATTTAAGTCATGAGTTTGGTTCTCTTCTTTGTCCGGTATTGTCTTGTCTTGTTTAAGTATGAGCTGTTACGTTATCCTTTGTTACTCATGTGCTTCCTGGATTGTTTCTTTTATTTGGATTAAAAGATTGCAGTGAATCCCTTCATCTGTTCATCATTACCTTGAACGATGACACAGCATTTAACAGCTCACTGATTATCAACTTTTGTCTGTGACACAAAGCTATTATTTAGCTGCAGAAGACGTGAAATATAACACACTAGTTGTATGGATTACTTTTATGATACTTTTAGAACACATATATAGTTCTTTGCAAACTTTAAAGCTTCCATTTACCATTATATGGAAGTGTGTCATGAGCTGGGTTTGTTCTCTCTCACTCTGGCTCTGCCTGTCTATTTTCCCACCTGTTCATCGTTGCAATTAGTGTTCGCTCTCTGTAACACCTGTTCTCACTCTAGTCTCATTACTTTCTCTCTACTTCTAGCGTTTGTTCCCCTTGTTCTTTGTTGGATTATTATGTGTGTATGTGAGTCATGCCTGTGCTATATGTTTTCTACATGAAGATTTACCTTGTGTTATCTTGTCTAGTTGTGCTCGTCTTGTGTGCTTTCTCTGCCCTGTCACCCTGCTGCTTGCGACCTTCTACCAGTCTACTCTCTGCGGCTTTGTGGCCTCTTACAAGGACTGTGTTACTGCCAGTGTTGTGCAAGTTACTTCCAAACTGTAATACATTATATATTACTTGTTACTGTTATTTAAAAGTAATTCATTACCTTACAATATTACTGTCTCAGAATTGTAATGCGTTACATTACTCCTGTATTACTTTTGAGTTACTTTCACCAAAATAACTATAAATGACTAGGGCTGTAAAGATATGCGATATGAAACCGAAATCGCGACACTCAGATCCACGAACCTGCAGAATCGCGACACACCTCTTCCAACTCCCAGCGTTATCCATACCGTCCAGATCCAATGCTACCACATCTTAAATTACTATTAGTATTATTTGAAGTTAACTTAACATTATAAAATACGTAGACCTACACCACAAAACTAGTTGAGGATAAATTATTTAAAATTTGGGAATTCCAGCGTTATGGACATGACATTTGCAGTCAAAACTTGAAATATAAATTCTCAGAAAATGCATTAATACCAAAATATTGAAACGTCTGTTTATCCATAGGCTCCTCCCTGAAAGGAGTCCAGACATTAGAAAAATATCAGTCTACACATGCGTTTTATATTTAATATTAGGGAAATAGACAGTCATACGTGACAAAAAAAATCTTTAGCTTTTAGGAGGCAACTATTTTTTTGTTGTTGTAATTCTGTGAATTACACTGCGCAAATCGGATGAAGAAGGGTTGGCTCTCCACAGAACATAAAATATTAATTTTATTTTATTTTCGTGTTCGCATTTATGAGGAAAAAACAATGTTACAGACGTGACAGTTCTCCATTACGGACGCGACCGCTGAAGAGGCACTAAAAGACTGCTTTAAAACTTTCACAGAGACCTTACACAGAAGACACAATTATTCGACATAATAATTCGTTTTGTATTAATTGTATCTTAATTTTAATCAATGTTTCATCAACCAATTACTTGGATTTAAATAATAAGTAGGCTAAATATAGCAGACAATTATAGATAGGCCTAATCACGACACGGAGGTGAACTGGAGCGCGTCTCATAAATGAACCGAAAATCAGCGTATAAGGTAGCCTATTCACGGACCTGAAAAATATATCTATATTTAAATGTCTACTTGTAAACAGAACAATTCAAAACAAAATAAAACAGACTCTGCTTATGAAATGAAATGTGCATTTCTCTCTGGTGCATTCACTATGCGAAGATCGCGAGTCAGCATCGTCAACTTCATCTTGACTTTATTAATAAACAATTAAAATGTCTCCTTGCTATATTTGACATTTTCATAATCATTGCTTTTGCTGGTTCTTTGTGACAGCTTTTAGGTGTTTTATTGGCAGCGCCGCCGCCCTTACATGAACGCGTCACCACCTAATCAAAAACATGATTGCGTGATGAAAACATGAAAAATACCACATAAACATAGCCTAACTGTTTAAAAAAAAGGAAACACAGAACGAATAGCCTAATGCGCATACGTCCATCTCGCGAATGTATAGTCTTCTTCATGCCATCTTCACCATTAACCGCTTTTCCACTGGCCAGCGTAAGCACAGAGGCCGAAATCATACTTCACGGCACTCCTGTAAAAAATAAATCGCTATACAAATATATCAGACGCTGCCATTTAGTCTTTATTTACAGACTTGGACACCACACGCGGCTATTGACTGACCACGAACAGGTAATTTAGCCTACTTGCATTTTTCATTCGTTAATGTCTCGCGGTCTTGCTGTTTTTTGTTTTGTTTTGTTTTTTACAATTAAAACTAAAAGTCTGTTGTAACGCAAGCCTTACTGAACATGTACCGAGTAAAATATTACTGAAAATTGATTAGTAATGCCTTACACTACTGCGTTACAGCAAAAAGTAATATGTTACTGTAATGCATTACTTTTGTAACGCGTTACTCCCAACACTGGTTACTGCCCAATGTGAATTACCAGCTCTGCAAACTATCACCAAGACAGGAGTCTTCCATTTCTGCTGACCTACTGTAAAGTATACTGACTTTGAGTTTATTCCAGTTCTGTGTCCTTGCATGACAGACTGCCTATAATTCTTCATTAAAGACTATTCCAAGAACTTGCCTTTGCACTTGGATCCTCTGTTTCTTCTGACAAAGTGATTGTAATTACACAGAAAAGAGTGGTTAAATACATTATTCAAAATCTAATCTGCCTTTGCACATCTTTATTAGCAGGTATGTGTTGGCAGGGCTGCAATTAGAGATTCGGCTTAACATGAAAATTGACCTCGGTATACATTAAAATTGTGTTCATATTTAAGGTATGAACTTAACCCTCTGGGGACCAGAAACGCGCCGGCGCGTTTTGCCGTTTTTTTTTCACATAGCAGAAAAATAGACTTAAAATACTCTGTTGATTTTGATCGTACATATAAGTGTTATACATCAATCGATCCTGTTAATTGTCTATTATTTTTCTGTATACTCACAATAAAAACAAAGTTTTGTGCTTTTTGTCAAATAAAGAAAAATAAACATGATGCGAGTTTTGCCTTCTCTCTGTCAGTGCAGTCCATTCTGAAACACGTCCGAAAAATTAACTCTAACTCTGCAAATACTTGTCATACAGGCACGAGAGATTTTTCTTTATGAAGCTTGAATTCTCTTCTTTTCAATGAAGTAATTTATATAAAAAACAAATATTCTCAGTTTATGTAATCTGTATGAAAAGAGAGTGCTGTCAGATTTTTTTCCCCCAGCTCATTACACTTCATTACGCGTTAATCTGACACGCCCACTGAGGACGCGCGCTATTCAAACGCAAATGTTGAGGCAAGCCATGACAATGCCCACATCAGCCGTTCCACCGCGGCGGTAAACTGTGGGGTGTATTTTCTGCCTTTTACTGCCAAGAGGCGCTACAATCATAGACTCTGAAAAGTGTTTGTTTATTCTCTCTAATGCGTAATCTGCCGCCGCACCGCGGCTCATTCAGAGTGATTGAAAGCTGGTAGCAGATGAATTCAACAAGTGGAACGTAGTTAAAATAATTCATAATCACAATACTGAAATTAGGGTACTGAAATGAAATTGAATAAATAATGAAAAAATAAAACATTGCAATAAAAACATTTACAGACGTACAGACGGTAGCTCAGTGGTTAACGCAACAACACGAGCTTCGAGGAGCTTCAATCGACCCGAGATCGAATCTCAATGTAGCATACATATTGTTAACCGATGTTGGCCAACAGCGTTTATATTTAACCTTCTTGATGCTTAAATAGCTAACTGTTTATAACTGTTTACTTATTTAAAGTCAAGAGTTTTGTTTTATTATTATAACATAAATTTGCTACATTCCTGGAACCGCAGCGCTGCACAAAGGACATAAACTGATGAAGGAAGATTGTCAGCCGATTGCATCAGAAAATGAAAATGAAGAAGCACGTCTTTAGTCTGCTAAATTATTGTGTAATGTAAAAGAACACTAAAATTACTTAAGTTTGAAACCAAGTTCGAACATTTCAAGGTTTAAATAAAGTGTCGGGACAGTTTTTTGCATTACTTTGCATCGGGTTTAGAGTTTATTTCTTTTGCGATGCAAAATAAGAAACACTAGGCTAATCTTATTCTTGCGACATTTTAAATTTGTATTGCCAAAGAAATGACAGCTATATTAAACAATTAAAACAGTAGGCCTACAAAACGAAAATTGTCCAAAGCAACATAATTAAATTAAAACATGCGTTTTTCTTTGCCTCTCTCGCACTGAATCTCTTTTTAACAAGTTTATTTAGTCTCCCTCGCTCTCCATATGAAAGAGGAACATTAACACCTAGGCCTATTGTCCTGCGCGCTCGATACAGCACTGAACTGTCCCTCCAACCCCCCACCGGCTATCGGAGTCTGAGGCTGATTTAACACAAAGAGAAGTCGCAATTTACACTTAAATCGCTATTCTAGACAGTGTTGATAATGAAGGAATTAAATGATTTAAGTTACATGTAGCCTAGTGATATTTCTGTCATAAAAGTTTATTACTAAATATTTCATTATTTCAGTAATTGATGAAATAAAACTGGTTTGGGCCAGCTTTTTCCAAGCAAAACTAAATATAATATGAAAAAACGCATGTTAATTTGTTGTCATGAACAAAATGTTCAACTCAATAGTAAATTCTACAGGGATCTTTGGATCCTTACAACCAGGCATGCAATTTGTGAATTAAGTTTTTTTCTATCTTTATTATTCAAATAAATATCGAACAACGGTGCTTCGTGGTAATGCTGCTAAATTAAATAACATGTATAGAATAATTATGAACTTAAATGAAACAATATCGCAACATTTCGACAAATACATTATTTGATCTGTTTTTACATTTTAATTCAGGGCGATTTAGCCTGCTAATTAGAGCGAGATTTTCACCCTTGTCTTGTCATTTTCTCATTGGGAAGCGCTTACATAGGCTACATGTTTGAGTAGATCCTCTGTACCTCTCGTTTTCATTATGGATTACATAATCAGATAACATTTATTAGCCTGAATATTTAGACATTTAAAGGCTTTAGACATAGCCGATTTCTTATAGTGACTGAGCTGAAGTGGCTTTCGGTTCATTTTTGTGACGCGCAGTTCCCGGAGACAGAGACGACAGATAAACTTTTGTCGTTAGCAAAAGTTCGAATAAAACCCGACTTTAGAAAAATGCATAGGGCCACTCGGCGTGGTCTGCCAAAACACTTAATTATAAACTTCAATATTTCATTCAAAATAATCTGAAAACGCTTTGTGAAATTTTGAAAAGCCGTGCATGCATTAAGGCCACTGGAACTAATGAACAACTGAAACGCTGATTTTGATTTTATTGTTTGTCGTTTAAACGTGCTTGTTGCATATCTCTATTTTATATTTGATATGGTCTATTGGTGAAGTAGCCTATAGCATTGATTACTGTGGAGGGAGGGGTGTGGGGATTCAAATAATTCAGCAGAAGCAGGGATGTTTAGACCAGAAGGAAATCCCAGTCCCCCCTGGCAAATCACACTTTACTTAAAACCATGTTTTTAAAAACTCTAGGTTGTAGGGAATCAAAAAAAAAATAATAATAGGCCTAATAAAAAAAAAATATATATATATAGGCTATATATATAAAATTACTTTTTTTACAGAACTGCTTTTGAAATTACGATTGGTACCCGATTGGTACAGATGCAAAGTCGTTCTGTTGGATACTATTGTTCCTAGTGTAAAATGGAAATGCATGGTAATTTTATTTTATAAATATAAGCAAAAAACTGTATGGTGTAACAGAGTTTTAGAGCTAGACAAATCTCTCTGCATTAATAAATATAAAATTTACAGTACACAATGTTTGTTCGAGATTCGAACCCGGGTCATCTTGATGATCGAACCGTCAGTTCTACCGCTCGGCTATTAATTTCCTCACTGAGAAATACCCAAACGTTTGTTTCTCACATGAGCGAGAAAACGTTTTGTCGTTAGCCTGTGAGTGTAGGCCTACTTTAGCCTACATGAATAAAAGTAGACCTTTTACAGTTTTAAAAGATGATATCTTATCTGTATGACCAACAATTACGCAGTAAGTTCTTTTAGCTGTTATGAGAAAAATAAATTCAAATGAATGCGCCGCCGCGTTTGTCAAACTCTAATTCAACATGCCAGAATAAAGCCAGATTTTAGAATAATGCATAGCCACTCGGCGTGGTGTGCCAAAATACCCTAATTATAAACTTCAATATTTCATTCAAAACCATCTCAAAACGGTTTGTGACATTTTAAAAAGCCGTGAATGTATTAAGGCCACTGGAACCAGGATCGTAACTGAAACGCGCTGCATGTCTCAATACAGGAGCAGAAGCGCTGGTTCAGATTGTATTGTTTGTTGTTTAAACGTGCATGTTGCATATTTAAAAATATTTGTTTAAAAATAAATGTTTGTTGTAGGCTTATTTGTAAATTACCATAACTTGTAGAATTTCATCCTTACTGTTAATTGACATTAGCCCCACTTACGTTTTGATAAATGTCCCTTTGCTCCACCTGGCGGTCATTTCGCGAGCGACTTTGAAATGCGACTGGTTTATTTTTATTGTATTGGTCTACTTTAAAAAATAATACTTTATAAGACATTTATGGGAAAAGACTATTTTCTTTTCAAGATGTTTCCAACTGTAACTTTGAACCAATTTTAAAACAATCTATTGTTTTATGTGAATGATTAGGAAGGATGATTTTCAGATCATTTTGAAGCAAAAACTCTAGGCGACAACGTACATTAGTCAAAAGTCTTGTGGACACATATTTAGTATGTTTTTTGTGTCCTTATTTCAAAAACTTAATTTTTTAGTTTTTTCAATAACCATGCATAAACAATATTCCCTCAAAAATACAAACATGTACATACATGTTGCTCACACATTATGGTAGACCTGTTTGTGCTAAATAGAGTGTAATTTCACCTGTGCCATTAATATGTTTATAAGCAACTGAAAAAAGCACACATGTCAGAGCATGTCAAAACATCTCAAGGACCCCAAAAACACCTTGGTCCCCAGAGGGTTAAATACAGTTCATATAAAACTTATTATTATTTTCTTTGCCAGCAAACAGAATTGCAAATAGTTCCCTTTCGTCAAACAAACAGTCTGCCCTCTCAAAAAAAACACACAAAGAAACACCCTGCAATTCTGTTTGGTGTCACAGGAATTACACAATTCACCTGTAACAGTCATGAAAATGTCAACATTTGAAATATCTCATTTTATGTTTATAAATGCTGCAGTGCTGCATCATACAAACAGTACCTGTAATTCTCTCTCATGGTTTGCAGAGTTTACCTTTATTATCTCTGAGGGTGAAGTTGTTATTATTGACGGCAGAGAAAGCGAAAGAGAAATAGAAACGATGGCCACTGGGAGGCTCGTCTTTATCCACAGCACTGATCGTCTGAATAACCTATCATCAGCCACAAGAAGACAAAAAGAGCTAGTTAAAACCTACAGCAAGGTTGAGTTTTTAAATGACAAAATTTAATATTATTACAATTTTTGACTGGAGAAGACACACGCCAAGAATTGATCCCCTTATGGTGGGCCGCCTCAGGGGAGGGTGTCTGGTGTTTAAAGAGCCGAAACACGAGGATTCTGAGGTACACCACTGAAGATGTGTCTTTGGAGGAATAGGTTTAGATAGTTGGTTTTATGATTGGCTTCTGGTTTTTGTCAATGATACATTTATCGTCATTAGGGATTAGGCTTGAGTTGGAATATTATGGTACCATTAGGTTTAAAATTCCCAGATCTACTCCTCATGGGAGGGAGACGTAATTGCGTGGAAAGACAGTATGTCACGTTATAAAAAGGCTCTAAAAGCAGCCAGGGCTGAGCATCTCCGCAAACTAATAGAAAATAACCAAAATAATCCAAGGTTTTTATTTAACACTGTGGCTAGACTAACAAATAAACAGACATCACCAGAGCAAAATATTCCGTTACAGTATAGTAGTAATGATTTTATGAATTTCTTCACTGAGAAAATAGAAAGCATCCGAAACACAATTGTAAATGTACAATCCTCTATGGTGTCTTATGATTCAGCCTCAATTATCGCCCCTCAAGAACAACTACACCGCTTTACAACTATAGGACAGGAAGAGCTAAATAAACTTATCATTGCATCTAAACCAACAACATGTCTATTAGATCCAATACCCACTAAACTACTAAAAAGAAGTGTTACCTGTAGTGGAAGAGCCTCTTCTCAATATTATTAACTCGTCTTTATTTTTAGGTCACGTTCCAAGAATATTCAAGCTGGCAGTAATAAAACTTCTCATTGAGGCCCTGTCCACACGGACACGGGTATTTTTATAACCGTGACTTTTTTTACGCGGTTCGGCCGTTCGTCCACACGAAAACGCACTGAAACCGAACATTTTTGAAAACCCCTGCCAGGGTGAGGATTTTCAGAAACGCCGGTTACAGTGTTGTCGTGTAGACAGTGAAACCAGGGTTTTTGCCTTGCGACGTCAGAGTGTGCGCCGTTATCCGCTGTGTTTGACGTCAGATTTGCGCTTCTGATTAGCCAACGTGGCTTTACGGTTAAGGTTTATATCGCCGCCTGCTGGCGTGGCATGCTCTTGACCGCGCTTGATAGCGTGTTTTTGCGTTTTCATGTAGACGGAGACCGAGCATGTGTGGACGGGAGTTTTTTTTAAAACGCTGTAGGAAAAACTCCGGTTATAAAAATACCCGTGTCCGTGTGGACAAGGCCTAAGAAACCGCAATTAGATCCAAATAACCTAGCAAATTACAGACCCATTTCAAATCTTCCATTTATGTCTAAAATACTAGAAAAAATTGTGTCTGCTCAATTGTGCTCTTTTGACACAATTGACCACAACATTCTTTTAAATAGACTAGAAAACTATGTTGGCATTAGTGGAATTGCATTAGCATGGATTAAATCATACTTATCTGACCGTTATCAGTTTTTAGCAGTAAATGAAGAGATGTCTTATCGATCACAAGTTCAGTATGGCGTACCACAAGGCTCAGTACTAGGACCGTTGCTGTTCACTCTGTACATGCTACCATTAGGAGATATCATTAGGAAACATGGAATTAGCCTTCACTGTTATGCCGATGATACTCAGCTCTATATTTCTTCAAAACCCAACGAAACTTACCAATTCACAAAATTAACGGAATGCATAGCTGATATTAAAAATGGGATGACTAGTAATTTCCTACTACTAAATTCTGAAAAAAACAGAGATTCTACTTATTGGACAAAAAACTTCCACACGTAATAACCTAGAATACTGTCTAACACTTGATGGCTGCTCTGTTAAGTCTTCGTTGTCGGTTAGGAACCTGGGTGTGCTTTTTGATACCAATCTTTCATTTGAAAGTCACGTATCTAGTATCTGTAAAACCGCATTTTTCCATCTTAAAAATATATCTAAATTACGCCATATGCTCTCATTGACAAATGCGGAACAATTAGTTCATGTGTTCATGACATCAATTATTATTATCTGACGTCTAATTATTTTTAACCCGAATGATATTTCTCTCATCCAACTCATAATTACTAATAATCAAAAAATTACTAACCATCAAAAGATAAGAAATTATTTTCCTTTTGTGCTAGACTCGAACCCCAGTCTTCCCGTTCCATCTTAACTCTCCTAGACCACTACCCCATACTAGCCTCTTCTTAATATTATTAACTCGTCTTTATCTTTAGGTCATGTTCCAAAAATATTCAAGCTGGCAGTAATAAAACCTCTCATTAAGAAACCGCAATTAGATCCAAATAACTTAGCAAATTACAGACCGATTTCAAATCTTCCATTTATGTCTAAAATACTAGAAAAGACTGTGTCCGCTCAATTGTGCTCTTTCATGCAAGAAAATGAGATATATGAAAAATTTCAGTCAGGATTCAGACCGCATCATAGCACAGAAACTGCGCTAGTTAAAATTACAAATGATTTACTTTTAGCTTCTGACCAAGGCTGTATCTCAATACTAGTTCTACTCGATCTTAGTGCTGCGTTTGACACTATCGATCATAAAATACTCTTGGATCGACTACAAAACTACACTGGTGTTCAAGGACAGGCATTAAGCTGGTTCAGATCGTATTTATCAGACCGTTACCATTTTGTTTGTTTAAATGGGGAAAAATCGAAGATAACGTCAGTAAACTATGGAGTGCCGCAAGGATCGGTGTTAGGCCCTCTGCTATTCTCAATATATATGCTGCCACTTGGTAATATTATAAGAAAACATGGAATTAATTTCCACTGTTATGCTGATGACACTCAATTATATTGAGTTATACAATTATACTTAGCCAGCAGCCATATCACCCTGTAGCCCAAGACTGGTTGCCCACTGAAGCTAAGCAGGGCTGAGCCTGGTTAGTACCTGGATGGGAGACCTTCTGAGAAAACCAGGTTGCTGCTGGAAGAGGTGTTAGTGAGGCCAGCAGGGGGTGCTCACCCTGTGGTCTGTGTGGGTCCTAATGCCCCAGTATAGTGATGGGGACACTACACTGTCAAAGAGCACCGTCCTTCGGATGAGACGTTAAACCGAGGTCCTGACTCTCTGTGGTCATTAAAAATCCCAGGATGTCTTTCGAAAGAGTAGGGGTGTAACCCCGGCATCCTGGCCAAATTTGCCCAGTGGCCTCTGTCCATCATGGCCTCCTAATCATCCCCATATATATATACACTGATTGGCTTCATCACTGTCTCCTCTCCACCAGTAAGCTGGTGTGTGGTGAGCGTACTGGCGCACTATGGCTGCCGTCGCATCATCCAAGTGGATGCTGCACATTGGTGGTGGTTGAGGAGATTCCCCCTTCCATGTGAAGCGCTTTGAGTGCCTAGAAAAGCGCTATATAAATGTAATGAATTAATTAATTAATTAATATATTTCATCACGGCCAGATGAAAACACTAACTCATCAAAATTGACAGAGTGTCTTAAAGATATAAAATGCTGGATGACGCATAATTTCCTGCTACTAAATCCAGATAAAACCGAGGTATTACTTGTTGGTCCAAAAAACTATCCACAAAACCACTTACAATACAACTTTAATATAGAAGGATGTCCTGTTACTTTATCCTCTACGGTAAAAGACCTGGGAGTTATACTAGACCACAACTTGTCTTTCGAAAATCATATTTCATATGTTACAAGAACGGCCTTTTTCCATCTTAGAAACATTGCTAAATTACGTAACATGCTATCTGTTTCCGATGCAGAAAAGTTAGTTCATGCATTCATGACCTCGAGACTAGATTACTGTAATGCTTTATTAGCCGGTTGTCCTGCATCCTCAATAAACAAGCTACAGTTAGTGCAAAATGCAGCCGCTAGAGTTCTTACTAGGTCAAGAAAATATGATCATATAACACCGATTCTATCATCTCTGCACTGGTTACCTATCAAGTTCCGTATCAATTACAAAGTACTATTTCTGACCTATAAAGCCCTAAATGGTTTAGCTCCTGTGTATTTAATGGACCTTCTATCGCCCTACAATCCATCGCGTTCTTTAAGATCACTAAATTCGAGGCTTCTAGTCATTCCTAGGATATCTAAGTCCACTAAAGGAGGGAGGGCGTTCTCACATTTAGCTCCTAAACTCTGGAATAGCCTTCCTGATATTGTTCGAGGCTCAGACTCGCTGTCCCAGTTTAAAACTAGATTAAAGACGCATCTTTTTAGCCAAGCATTTACATAATGCTTACCTTTTATTATACTGCTGAATCAGATCAAATGCATTTAATACTATAAAACTTGAAGAGACTGTAGGTTATCTGTATAGGTTGCATAGTATTTGCAGTTATTACGTTCCTGTGTATATTGCGTGAATGACGGGTGGTTGGGCAGATATTGTGTTGCGGTAGGTAGTATGCCATACGGAACCGTTGTCCACTGAAACTGCCTATTCACGCACCAGTGGGGCTCGACAGCCTTAGTCAACGGGTTGGCGCGTATGGTTGGGTTGCGGAGAGATTGTGAGATTGTGGTTAGGTCTCAGCAGCAGGAGGGATGTAGAGGTCAGTAAGCTGGGCTGAGTTGAGTGGGGGACGGAGGGGGGTGATTTTGGGACGCAAGAGTCACTGTCTTCATGTTTTGTCTTTTACGCCTGTGTTATGGAAATCATCATTATGAACAGCAGCTACGCTAATTATTTTCCCTTTGCTTTTCTGCTGTTATCTCGGGACGCGAGTCCCGAGAAAATGGCGTTCGTCAGCTCCAGTTTGTATCCAGCCTCTCACGGAGACTTCAGATGCTCCAATCACAAAGCCTATGAAGTGACGACTCAACACGGGCGATATGGACTCTCTATGGTGGACGGCACTGATCCTCAACAACTCGTCTTAAGACCGGCGTGCATACTTGGACTTCCAAAAAATACTCTAAATGTTC